ATTTGAATCTACTATGTCTTGCCTTTATTAAATTTTACATCCATTAAAGTTTTAGATTTTGTGTTTACATTTCTCATTATTTGTAGGATTTTGCTTATTGAACATTTCTATAAATGACATTTTTAAAACTAATATTATAGTTTAGAATAATATGAAGAGACTAGTACTAGTATATAATTTGAATGGTTGAGAAGAAGCACAAATAAGTAGCAATTGTAACGCAAATTGGGATTTGTGTGTCTTCATGTTTTGCATATCTAGATGTGTTGCTTTTAGTTTTGTTGCAGGTTGAAACTTTCTTTTCATCAACTAATCAGATGCATCCTTTAAAAGCTCCTTCAGCATGTCTTTGTCTTAAGTGGGAACGATGAAATTGCATGTTATGACCATAATTTGTCGGAAAAGAAATACCTACTGGAATATCTGCTATCAAAGATTTGTGTTGGTGCTGGGTAAGTATAAGTGTCTCATTTCTTGCCTAAATAATTGTTAGAGAGACAATTTCACTTGGTAGTGATTTATTATTGCTGCCTCGCTGTGAAAAATCTGAAATTGGTATGTACCTCCCACATATTTTTTATTTGTACATATTTTGATCTCTTGCATTATAATTAGATATTTTTTTCATTACATTATATTTTTTGTGCTCCCAATTATTATATTGGATGTAATTATAATAGTATGAAAATATGCATATTTGAATTAGTTACTTGGTGTATTGAATATTATTTGAAAGGAAATATGAATGACTAATAAGTTATACTTTAATAATACAAGGTTGGAAATAAATAAATTTTTTTTCTCTCTTTTGAAGGTTAAATTAATGTATTACACCCTAAATTTAAAGTTACCATTAATAAGTTATCAATTTTCTTTGCATGGATATGTTCAAATGGCATAAAAAATTGTTTTACATTTTATTATATTACTAGTTTTAAAAATTAGCTTACACATGTTAAAGTTTTCTGTTTACATATTTTATTATTTGTTTGCTGCTATGATAACATTATTACTATAAATAATATTTTTAAACTAGTATTACAATTTAGAATAATATTAAGAGTTCATTAATTTCAATAATTGAAAGAGCACAAATTGTTCTTCATGTTTTGTATATCCAGTTGCAATGCTTATAGTTTTGTTCCAGGTTGTTATGGTCATCAGTTAATGTGATGCATCCTTAAATGTAAAAAGAAGGCTCTTTCATCCACTGAATTTTCAACTACTCTGACCTGAGAATTATCAGGATAGCCAGGTCAGTGCTTGTTGAAAATCCAGTTTTGATTCTTCAAGAAATTCTGGGTTCTCCAAATCAACATTATGAAGGAAGTGGAAATATTGAATTAGTATACAGTTTAATTTGTTTTAAAGATATATTTAATAATACTTGGGTTATTTACAGAGTTAATATATTATATAGCAGTATTTTTTATATTAACCCTATATTAATTTGATTTAGTTAAGAAAATTGATTCAGGGTTATCTTTATAGAAATAATACTTTAAATTTTTTGTTACAGATTATTACAACTTTCAGGAATCTTTTCACGAGTGGAATTTTCTAACTTAAGTGGCTTTTTTGTAAGCTGTACTGTTCCTTGTACTGTCATCGTTATCTTCTAATTAGAGGAATCTGCTTGCTTTATTATTTATCAAATTTATGCCAGGCTGTAATTAAAGTGTTAAAAACTTAACATTACCATGATTTTTCATGAACATTACCAATTAACTGATATAGTATCAATATTTTTATATGATATACAAATGCTTACTAACAATTAACCACAAATTATTTTATATATAATTTACATTTAATTTTATATTTAATTATGTTTGATTTGTATTCTATTAAGTGTATATATATATACTATATATGTTATAATAAAATGCTACAAAAAAACCTACTTGGTATTTTTTTCCGAGTTTGCTTTGATAATTATTGAACAACTCTGATTTAAAATCTTTCTGATTGACCCTGATCTTTGTATGGAATCATGGAGATCTAGAGAAATGATTCTGTTTTCCCCTGTTCTGTTGCTACCCTTACGATTAACTCTGTTATTACAATATAACAGAGCCATCGAATAGTATTTTAGAATGTTTTGTTTCATTTTATTCCCCAATGTGTCTTAAGGTTGAAAAAAAATGCCAGCTTTCGTGATGATTTTCAGGTAAAAAATACAGGTAAAGATTTTAATAATATCTCAAAATAGCATACAATGCCTTTTATGTAGAGTTTCATTGCAATGAATTTATTTATAAGTACTAGTTAGAATATTAGACTTAGTTAGAATATCTCCACATCCTAGGAAAAATATTTATAAATATTAAGGAATTAAAATTCAAATTGAATTATCAATGTTTGAATTTCCTTATAGCCGTAATATTCTAATTTAGAAAGAAATTATTTATGTACTTATATTTATTTCATTTAATGCCCATATAAAAAATCATTATAATTGAAAAAGGTTTAATTCTAAAAAAAATTACACATAAGTCATCTCTGCTAGAGTTAGTTAACTAGAAAATAATTCAGGTTAAGGAGAGTTAATCACTATATAGAATACAGTTATATTCTATATAAGTTTTACAATATTTCATTCACGTCAACAGGGTGCTCTACAAATGGGGTTCTGAAATTTTCAAGTAAAACAAACACTATATTCTTAGAAGAACAAATAACTGGTGTTTATTTGACATGTTATACGAACATCCATGAGTGGTGCATCTTGCCTGCAGTTTTTAGAGAGTTGAACAATTGAATAAAATGTAAGTTAATGAATTAACTGCTAAACGTCATAGTCCTGAGATAGAGTTGCAGATACAGTATAGTTTTGAAAGAAATATTTATCACTCTAGCAGAAAAACTGCTTGAAATATTAAATTTTCACGTGATTATGTAAAAACTGAGATATGTTTTTATCCTGAAATTATAAGTAATTAAATTAAATAAGTTGCGATGAGTGATATAAAAAAATTTAAAAAAAACGTAACACATTCTTGAAAAAAGAAGGAAGGAAAAAAAAAACAAAGCATTTACGCATGATATTTATTATTTCAAATCTCTATTATCTATTTTCAAATCTCTTCTTAATGTACTTCATGAATATTCAATTAATCATTTACATAATAATTTCCTAAGAAAAATTACTATCGCTGCAGAATTACATAATTGAGTTATTAAATATTATGCAGCTAAAATTCTGAAAGCAAATACAGAAGAAAAAAATATATATACACATAAATCAATACATACATATGTACCTTTGTACTACGTTATCATTTTGTTGCAGAATACCTTGATAAGTATGTATACTCTTTAATTCGTTGGAATCCTGTAGAAAGAAAAAGAGAGTACATATAGTACATTTATTTGATTTGAATTAACTCGCATGAGTCTGGAAAAAAAATATCCTTGCAAACCTTTTTTGCAACGATTTTTTAAACATAATTATTAGAGGATTTCACCACTAATTTAAAAAACATATCATCAAAGAAAACTCTTATTTTATTAAGCATTCAATTAATCCCTTCATCTCAGTTAATAAGTGCATTGATAGTTAGATTTTTAGTGGATGTCATTGATACGTGACACCGATATGGTCATAGAGTTATAAATAAGTTTTATATAAGTTAAGTATAAGTTTATTACTCTATGGATATGGTTGACACTGAGTGACATCACACACACAAAATGATCAAATTTAAATTAAATAATTGCCATTTTTGAAGAAGATAATTCTGCAGTTCTCTAATCCGGGCCGTTAATATATATTTTACGAATCCTTATAAGAAATGGAATAACAAACGTGCGTAGGGATCAAATTAATATTTAGGAGAGAAAGAACAAGCACGCTGCCGAACTTTGATCAAAAACATGATATAACGAGGTTAATAAGAGATGAAGGATTAAAATCATTTGAAATTATTTTTATCGAGAACAAAGTTTTAAGGCGTTTGTGATCAAAAGCCAAGTATATTTCAAAAAAATCAAAAGTTTTTTTTTTTTTTTCGTCTTCTCCTGACTCAAAGAATATTTGGTTAGAAAAAAATTTTCTCCAGATATATCAAATATTTCAATATACATATATCAGATATTTCAATATAACAAACTAGAATAAGTTATTAGTAAAATAATAAAATCATAGCAGCCCTAGTACTTAAGTTTTTGAATTTTAACACTGTATAAAAAGTTCATGTTTATTTCATCATTTTGATATTTTCTCCATTGCAATTACAATACTATTTGCTCGAATTTTATTCAGATGCTGACAAAAGACAACCTGGTGACCCGTCAAATTTTCTAACAGTAATGTAGAAGAGTCAGAAGATGTAACAAGTCATTTTTCACTTTAAAAGAAAATTGTAAGAAGGGAAGCAGAAAATAGACCAGTTTATTGAATCAAAATATACAGGCAAGTTCTTCATAATTCCAAATTCTTGGTGCAGCAGTTTTATTATAAAGCATTTACTCTGGTTTTCGGAGTGGTTAGTAGTTGTATAAATGTTTTTTTTTTTCCTAGCTTGAATAAGAGTTTGAGAAAACAATCATATTTTGCATTACGCGTAAAGAGGAACCACGGAAATATCTTTCAGATTGCTTGTTTCCATTTAAAAGCTCAGTAATCGCAATTAATTTTTTATAATAAATTATTTTTTTAGTATCTTTGAGAAACTTCTATGTGAATACGAGGGTCACTTTGAAATTTTTGAGACACAACTAGGTTTTTAAAGTAACACTTACAAAATTTTAGATGTGTTCAAAGTAGTCTCCTCCAGCACAATGCACTTTTGGAGTCGAATTTTCCACAGATTAAATGCCTCAAGCCATTCATTTCTTGGAATAGATGAAAAAAATGCATTTATAGTCACATCAATCTCTTCTTCTGAAGGAAAACGACGTCCCCATAAGTTCTTTTTTAGATTAAAGAATAACCAAGAGTCACGCATGGCTAGATCAGGTGAATACGGCGGATGTTCTATCACTTTAATTTGTTTTTGTTAAAGAAACTCAACTGTTAATACGGCTGTATGTGAAGATGCATTATCATGGTGAAGCACTAGTCCCCTAACATTCACTTCTTGTAGAATTTCTGGAAGACATTTAGTGGTATACCAGTTTGCTGTTACTGTCTTCTGTCCTTCCAACTTGATGGCTTTGATCAATCCCGTACTTCTGAAGAAAGCGGCATACATCACTTTTTTCAGTGCGCGTTGTCTTTTCATCATCGTGGGATCATCTTCAAAGACCCATACTTTGCTTTCTTGACGTGTTGAAACGTCAAAAAACGGTATGTACGTTTCATCACCCGTTACAATTTCAGAAATGATGCTGTGGTTACCATCATTTAGCAATTTAAGAGTTTCTTTACTGATTCTGACATGCTCCTCTTTCTGGAGAACCCAACGGCAAACTACTTTTTTCATATGTAATTCTTCATGTTTAATTTTGCGTATGGCTGCAGATCTAATGTTAAGTTCCTTCTGTATAATTTGATAGGTACAGCGATTATCATCCTTTAACATTTTTCGTATAGCAGACACATTATCCGGTATTACTGGCCTTCCTGTGTGTTCTTCATCCTGAAGAAAAGTGCGACCTCTGATAAATTCTTTATACCATCTAAATACAGTAACACGAGCTGGAGATTCATCAACAAATGCTAATTGCAACCGCTGAACGCATTCTTCTTGATTAAATCCTGCTTTAAAATCGTAGAAAATCAAAGAGCGAAAATGTTCTCGAGTCAACTCCATTTTCTCTTCCGTTTAAAATTTATTCTACGCTAAACAAGCTGAAGTAAGTCAGTAAAAAATTGTCTGCCGTGTTAAAATACGCTTTGTATTTTAAAATTAAACCGTTATTTTTATTATGTAAATTCGTGTCTGCGCGTATCTCAAAAATTTCAGAGTAACCCTCGTATAACGAGATGTTCTTCATATTTTTGTAGTTTTTAACTCAACCCGAAAATCAAAGTAACTCGTTATTTACGTATCGGAATAAAGCCATATTTATGAAAGTTATGAAAATAATTAATTATAATCAAGATTAAATTGAAATTAAAATTGTTAAACTTTGCGTTACACGCTAAGAAAAACAAACGAAAAAGTTTTTCAGATTGCTTTTATTTGGTATATAAAATAACTTGCAATTCAAGCATCGGAGTAAAATTATATTTATGAAAGTTAAAAGATTAGTTTATTTTAATTAAGATTAAATCAAAATAACCGCAAGGTAAAACCACGAAGATGTTTTTTTTAAAAATTGCTTGGTGATAATAGGATTCAAGCTAAATGTTCATCATCATCTCAATGAAATTATTTTTTTTAAACAGCCATTTTTTTTATTATTATTATCCTTAATAGATAGAGTACCATCTTTCTGAACAGAACGAAAAGCTCTTTTTATTAACTCAACCCGGAAATCAAAGTAA